ATCGCTTACTTACCCGACAAATATGATACTACAGTAGAAAAGTCCAATAAACACTAACAATATTTCTTTGTTCAATGAAAAATCTACATCAAAATAAACTAAACAAACTTATCAATTGTAAAACTGCTAAACCGCATGAAAACTCGATCCAAAACAAACGCACAAACGGTCGCTGATGATCTCATTACCGTAGTATCGCTTTCGCACTTGTAAAACGCTGGCGTTTTAAGCATCGTAGAGGGGATAATACATGTCCGCCGGCTGTACAAATGGCAAATTTTAAATGTCAGCTTTACATGTACGCCACCTGTACCGCCGGCTACCAATACAAAATAATTCCTAAATTGTTCTCACATTCAAAAATATGTTATGTACGTCTTAGTTTCATGAAGATAGGATGGTGTATACTAAAAAAAAATACAAATACATTTTCGTAATACGCCGTATATTTCGTTCGGCGCTTCAAGTCAAATGTCAGTTGGCAGCTGGCTGTACAGGTGGCGGTTAACGTGTTAAGTGTTAAGAAATGTATGAAAAAATATTATTATAAATTCTACACTAATAAAAAGAAATTTATAACTACCAATCCTTGTAATCATCTAATGTTGAGGAACAATTTCCGATGACATATGGTTTGATTAATCAAACTGAGAACCTCTTAAAAAAACATTATTTAAAAAATTTAAACTAAAAAAGAAATTTATAAAAAGCTTCTATTACTGATGTTTAATTTTATTTGTGCAGGTATCAACAACCTCGAAAAAAAAATATGCCTCTATTGGTAAAGTAAAAATTAATAGCGAATGTTTTGCATTCCATTAAAACACAGATTAATTGAGTGTTAAGTAGTTTAAAAAAATAGTATGAATTCTACACTAATAAAAAGAACATTATAACTACCAATCGTTGTAATCTTTTAATGTTGAGAAATAATTTCTGCGGTCATATGGTCTGATTAATCAGACTGAGCACCTGTTAAAAACATTATTTAAAAAATATACACTAATAAAAAAGAAATTTATAACTTTTATTCAACGAAAGCTTCTATTACTGATGTATAATGTTTTTTGTGTAGGTATCTACAACCTCAAAAAAAATTAATATAAAATGTTCTGCATTACATTTAAACGCAGATTAATTGCGTGTTAAGTAGTTTTTTAAAAAATATTATAACTATCCATCGATGAAATCTTGTAATTTTGAGGAGTAATTTCTGAGGCATGATGATCCGGTTCGATTAATCTCGCGAAGAACCTGCTATAAAATATAAACAGATATGAATTAAGTAAAATTATGAGTTTAATTGTATTTGTTCGTTTCCACACCATCTTATATATTAAAAATTACTATAAATATTATTAAATATAAATAATAAAAGGTAATATAATGAGATAGAACTTATGGCGCGTTTTTTTTATTGTGGTATCCCCAGGAGGCCTATTCCACTTTTAATTAATTAAATAATTTTTAATCATAAATAAATATGATTTAAAAAAATTTAAATCTGGTTTATTAAATCTGAAATTATAATTAAAAATCATAAAAATAATACAACTTATTATTAAAAAACTTACTGAGTACCCAATGGAATTGTTTTGTTGCTAAAAATTATTTAAATTTATATTTTAGGTACCAATTTTAAAATATAAAAACTTACATGGGATATCTAAAATAAAATTTTATTTTATTTTTATTTTTTTTTAAAATAATTAAAATTTACTTACAACATTGTACGGGGTCGAATGAAATATCGCACTAACATACTTGTTTCTAAAATTAATTAATTAATTAGAATTATAATTTATTATAAATAATTTAATTTTTACTTTGTTTTTGGATGATCAACCCATCTCCATCAAATTTTGTTCCTATTAAACTATTTCGATATGTTTCCTCCCCTATTTTCTGTAATATTCTAAAACTTCAGTAATAAAAATAACAGTTTTTAAAAAATATTTACCCTAGGATCGCTGGATTTTCTTTTTTTCCGAAAGAGGTGACAATTCTAAAAATTAGTAAATATAATACCTATTTCAGATATATTTAAAATAAACTCACTTATACTCAACCGCAATTTCAGTTTTTCTAAAATTAAAAAATTTAATAGGAATTTTATTTTAATTAAAATAATTAACTTACGTTTTTTTTTGTTGCATTAAATAAAATCAGATGATTTTCTAAAAATTAAAAATAAAAAAATATATATTAAAAGACTAAATTAATTAAATTACTTGTTTTCTGAAAAATTAACAAATCCATATTTTCATCTTTAACAACTCACTTCTTTCCTATGAAGGCGGTTGAAAGCTCAATTTTACCGATTTCAATAAAATATCTAAAAAAAAATTAAATACTAAATGACAAAAATTTAATAAAAAATAAATGTACTTACCCTAAACACTCCATGTTTAAAATAAGAAGAAATTAAAGTTTTGATGCAATATTTATAGAAAATTTTAATCTAAATATAATTTATAATCACCAAATTTTTATATCAAGTTTGCCTGTAATGTGATATTAATTTTAATGATGAAATGGAACAACATGGGGAAAATTAAATAGATGATGTGTTTTATGCATTTAATTTTTGAAAAAAGTATGAAATATAAAATTTTTAATAATTTATCAAAAAAATTATATGCAAGAAGACCTTATTGAATAAAATCATTTAAATCATCGTAATCACCATTATATAAATGTTTTTCCATAGAATTAAATTTTTTATTTATCGTATTTTTTTGTTTCCTGCATCTTTTTAAACTTTTATTTTTATCATCAATATCATGTTCAGCACTAATTAGGTCTTTTTGCATAATATCATAATCAATATTTAAATTTCGTATAATTTCTTCATATTTATTAATTTTTTCCGAAAGATCGCTATTATTTTTATAGTAAATTTCATTTTCGGTTATCAGTAATCCATTTTTTTCAGTTTGGTTCGCAATTACTTCACTTAAAAATTCATTTTTTCTTAATAATAAAGATTGTTGAGCAACACAGACCGTTTTACAAATTTCCATCTCGTTTTCATTTCGTACTACATTTTCTATTAGGCTGCTATTAAGTTTCATGATAATATTTTTTAACCCCAATATTTTAGCGAGTAAAAAATTGTTTTCTTCTTCATATATTTTGCAGTTGTTAATAAATAAGTTCATTAATTTTTGGTAATGAATCAGCAAAATGAGTAATTCTTTCGGGTTTTAATTGAGACTTTCTAGTTAATACTCCATTTTTATGTAAATCATCTTCATTTTTGGGTTGATTTTCGAAAAATCGTGTAGTTTCAGGTAAAACAGTGACATTATTTTCTTGTCTTCTATTATTAGTATATATCTGATTATTCTTATTTCGTTGATTTTTAGATCTCCTATTATATTCGTTATCCTCTCTATTTTCATAAATATTTCCAAAAACATCCCCATTTTTATAATATAAGCCACTTTCAGGTAAAACCGCTCCAGTATTTACATTTCTTCCATTACTTTCAAAATGTCGAATTGGAATTCGTTCATTTTCAGTGGTCGGATCTTCAGGAAATTTGTTATTTTTAAATAAATGGGTATTTTGAGGTAAAACATCACGTCGATTATTTAGAAAAATAGGTCCATTATTTTCTAGTCGTTCATTATTTCCATCACTAGTTTGTAAAATCCCAACATTTTCTTCATTTTGAATGTTTTTAGTAAAAACAGCTCCATTATTTTCAAATCGATTTTGAAAAATTCTTTGATTTTCATCTAATTCATCATTTTTTGGAAAAACAGTAACTTGTTTTCTTCCATTTTGAGTATTTTGAGGATATCGTTCATTTTCATTTAAATGACCATTTGTGTGTAATATTAACACTTTAGACGTCACCACATTTTCAGCTAATTCATTTTTAGATAAAAAACTAGTACTTCCAGAATAACTATTTTTTAACGAAACAATTATAGAAATTTGGTGCAAAACAAAAGCCAACGAGAAAAACATTTTAGAAAACTATTGCAAATTCTTTCTAATTGAGTATATATTGAAATGAAATAACAAAAGTAAATTCTAATTTGGGACGAACTGTACACTGTGACAATTAGTACAGTAACTTTGTAAGTAAAAAGAAACATTAGCTGTCATAAGTGATAAAAAAAAATATTAAATAATGATTAAACAATAAAGGTTCACTTAAAAAAAAATCACTAAAAAGTAAACATAATTAAAAAAAAATCACATTGCAATGACCACAAAAAGTATCTCAATAACATAAAAAAAAAACATATACGAACCTACCTTTACTTTTTCCTTTTTTTTTGGATGATTGGTATCCAAGGGGTAACTAAGGGGTTGTTGATTTTGAGATGGAGTTTTTGACAAACGTTTGAGATTTTTTTTTGAAATTAAAATTGGAATTCTTGATATATTTTAAGCAGTTACAACCTAAAAATAATAAAATATTCTTTCAAATTTTATTATGTACATCCTGGGTGAGTAAAAAATTTACCTACCGTTAACTAGAAGGAGCAAATCGTGTATCGAACTCCGGTCACCGAGCAGACAGACGATTCTGTGGGAATAAGCCATTTCGTCCATGTTGAGAAGGAGTATATTTCCAATTCCTGGAATCAAAATAATTTTAACTAGGAAAGAACTGAGGTTTTAGTGAGTAAAATAATCTAAACAAGTTGATTAAAAACGATATTGCAAGCTACTTACTTTTAAAAGTTTTTTTGAACAGTTTATTAATTGACTTTCGGTTTTTAAACACAATAAACATTTTGTTACGTTCTGTATTCTGCATTGGTGTAAATAATTTTTTTAAATTTAGGTTAGATGTATAGAGCTCTTTACAAATATTTTAGGAAGGGTAATTACAGAAAGCTAGTCTTAATTTTACTTAAATAAAGTGATTCAACTCCAGAGCACAGCATACTGTAATATCCTCCAATAGATGGCGTTAATTACTGAAAAGTTTGTATTATTCAGCATTTAATTAATATTTATTTTAGAATGGGATTGAAATGAACATTTTAAATGGATTATATGATGAGGTTGATGTGGCGGACTCTTTGAATTTTCCTCAAACATCAAAATTAGAGGTTCATATCTTTCATAAATTATCAAAGCTATTTATTTTTTTTTAAATTTATTATAATATATTTATTTATTTCTAATTTTTAGCACGAAAAGATTGACAATTTAAAAATATTTGACGATGACTTTGAAAAGATGGTTGAACATATGAAGTTATCAATACATTTACCACAATCACATGAGCTAGAGGTACTATTTTTTTTGTTATAAAAAATTTTATATTTATTAATTTTAGGATGAAAATATGTTTGATTTAAGTCTACTAGGTGAAGGGTTTGAAAAAATGGAAGATTCAGACAATTTTTTAACTCATTTACAACAAACAGCAGTTCGAGGTAAAATTGAAATGTTTAAATCTATTTTTTAATTGAAAATTAAATGTTTATTAATTTTAGATCAAAAATATGGAAGATAAGATGGATGATTCGACAAATTTTCCCATTTTTTTATCTCAATCACCAAAGTTTATTGTTTTTTATGATTTCGTATTATATACATATCGAATCTTTTTTTATAATTGTAGCTTATTTCACATCAAACAAAGACATCTGCAGCTGAAGAAAGAATAGCAATCATCCAAAAAATAAAAGAAAAATATGAGAAACTGGCCAAATTACAAGAAATCATAAGAGAGAAGGAAAAAGAAAACGAAGACCTTATTTTAAAAAATAAAAAAAATAATAGCAAATTAAAAAATTTGCAATTAAATATAATAAATGATAATAAAAAAATTATATTAAATGTAGCTACACTTAAAAAATATGTTCTAAATTTTATTGAAATACAAAATCAGTAAATATCATTTTCGTTTTATTTCATAAATCACCAAATTTTTAAAAGATAAAAATTGGTATCTCTTCAAAAAGAGAAACTTTTAAATAAAATATCTCGAATTAAAAAAATATTACTTTTTCAATAAAGTGATTATCTCAAAACATTAATGTTTATTTCTCATATTTCATATTTTAAAATTAAATAAACCATTTTTTGAAAAATTACTAGAATCCGTAGAAAATTTATGAAAACCACCTCGTTTAACTTTGTCTCAATGATTAAGTACAATATTTATTTCTTGTGGTTTAATGAAGATATTAATGCTCTGCTCTATGATCCGATTCAATTATTGGATGTCACTAGTTGTAAAGACTCGAGGTTTTATAAAATATCTATTCTCTTAAACAGAATATGAGGTATTGAAGAATAAAAATAAGTTTTACGCTTGAATTTTTTGTGTTGTAAAGGAAGTTTTCAAGTTCATTTGGTGCTTATGCTTTAAGGGTAAACGGTTTTCTGTAAATAAAGTCAGTAGCTACATTTAAGATACTGGACTTTTACTAGTGATGAATGATATATATCAGTTTTAATATAGAATGTATAAAATAATTGTAATCTAAGAGGATTTTTGCACCGCCCTAGATTTTCTAGATATCCTACGAAATTACTTATAATTACACTTCGGAAACTATACAATTTTTCGGTTAAATGAGATGATGTATGACCACTTTATGATAATTTTTGAATTATATTTTATTGCGGGTTAATATAATACTGATTGCGCGATTCTAATTTATTGTGCGATTCTAATGTATATTCTAATATATATACCGTGTGATCTAAAAAAGCAAAACTTTAAATGCTTAGGTATGTATGAAGCAAAAAACTCTTTTTTAAAATTTATAAAAAATTACTAATTATTTTATATATTTTTAAAAGCTCTAAAAACGGAGCTAGTTAAGATTATATTCTAAAAATGATTATAGTTGCGTCTTCAAGGTTTTCATAAATTCTTTATATTCTTTTAAAATAATTAAATACTTTAAAGTAAACTAAATAGATATGATAAGGTACAACTCAATTCACTAAACGTGTACACGCAAGTAGTTATCTATTATTTATATATTACCCATATTATTGTGTCGGTACCGGTAAAATGTAATCCGAATTTCTACATAAATACGGTGAAATGCAATTAAAAGTTTTAGATTACCGGTCACGTACAAAAACCATACAAATTGCAAAAGTACAATTTTAAGGATGCGTAGGCGTCCTTTATAAATGATTTTTTAAATCTTTAGACATTATTTAGAACGATAACTTAGTTTTGGTTTTATTTCATTTAAATAATAACATTCATATATTTTTTTTTATTATTAGGTAAATTAGTGAAATCTGACATGTTCCATCACTTCTATATCAATACCTATTACATTTTTAGTGAAACTTTCAAAAAATAATTCAATTAAATATGGTTTACACAGGTACAGATTCCATGAGATTTCATGTGTACGCTAATGATAGAATAAGCTTATTCTTCCAATTAATCACTAGCGGCTTTTGAAATGTTTTGATCGCAATAAGACAATTTTTGTCACCTGAAGTCAACCTTTTATCTCAACTGTAGTTAATATATATCTTATGCTAGTGCTCAAACGTGTCGCGTTTAATTAAAATTATATAATTTGAAAATTTATATATCAAACTAAACATGCGAGCTCGAAATTTGCGAATTGATAAAATAGGGTAGTATAATTATAAGATTTCTTCACCAATATATGATCCGAATTCACCCGTAACTTATTTGCATCCTTGAAGTAATTGGTGTATTCATAGAATGTTTATAAATATTTATTTTTGAAATTAACGATGATTAAATATCAAAGTTGATGTTTAATTAAAGGGTTTATACAATGATAAAAATAAATATAGTTATTTTTAAAATTAACCTTGATTTTATTATTAAGAATGGTGATTTATATTAGGGGTTTATACAATGTTATAAATATCTTTATTTATTTTTAAACTTGATGCTTATGCTGGAGTTTTTTTAAAGGGTTTATACAATGATTAAAAATAAATATATTTATTTTTAAAATTAACCTTGATTTATTATCGATCATGGTGATTTATATTTAATTAAAGGGTTTGTACAATGATAAAAATAAATAGAGTTATTTTTAAAATTAACCTTGATTTTATTATTAAGAATGGTGATTTATATTAGGGGTTTATACAATGTTATAAATATCTTTATTTATTTTTAAACTTGATGCTTATGCTGAAGTTTTTTTAAAGGGTTTATACAATGATTAAAAATAAATATATTTATTTTTAAAATTAACCTTGATTTATTATCGATCATGGTGATTTATATTTGGGGTTTAAACAATGTTATAAATATCAATATTTATTTTTAAATTGATTTTATTGTAATCTCTATTGTTTCAAAAGTATAAAAGAGTTGGTAATATTCGTTTTCGAATTATTCTCAGTAGTTTTTCTCGTTTAAAGTGCTTATTTATTCGTTTCAAGTAAGTAATTACATTTTAATATTTGGACTTAAAAAATTAATGGTATTTTATAAATCATAAATTTTATTTACGGTAATCATTTTAATATCCTATTACAGTTATCGTATTATAATAAATTGCCTATCAAGTGATTATAAAGTTTTATCAAATAAGTATCAATTATTGTATTTTGTTTATAGTTATGGCTCGATTAGATGAATTAATTTGTTATATAGCCAGTTTTCTTAGAATGCTAACACCGAACTATGATGAAAATATTGCAAAACAAGGAATACGCGAATGCCAAAAAAGCTTAATTACAGTTAAAAACGCTTTGAAATCTGCAAAGACAATTCCCGTTAAACAGCATTTATTATCATGTTTAAATAATATTACATCATATCGTACGCAGATAAAAGCTATGATGAAGAAGAATGAGTTTAATAAAAATTATAATTATGTGCTTGACCGTGTTCGATGGTCTAATTCTGAATCTGCATTTAAAAATAGAATTACTAGTGGAATAATTTCTAATATTGCTCACCTCGATCCAATATCATTTTTGAACGATGCTAAGATTATATTTATCCGCAAAATACAAGATATTTTAAAACAAGTTGAAGCAGTAAAAGTTAATGCAACATTTTGTGGAGAATTTGAAATTATGGAAGGAGATAATTTGCTTAGTGAGTTAAAATATTTTACTACCTCAAATTCACCGATCTATAAAAACACTAAAATGGATGAATGGTTTGATCAGAAGGTTATAAACCCAATTTTAACAGAACTTGAAGAATTCCAGGAAGGAAATAGTGGATTTGCATTAAAAAATGTTATTAATTTAATTATTAATGTGAACAAGTATAATCCGCAACGAGTGGGTACTTATATCCCACTACCTCCTCAAATAGCAAAAAAACATGCCTGCATCAACGTTAGAAATAATGACAAATCATGTTTCAGTTGGGCTGTGATTTCGGCGCTCTATCCAAATGTACATAATACAGATAGAACTTCTTCATACCCACATTATTCGACTATTTTAAAACTCAAAGGAATACTGTTTCCAATGACAGTTAAACAGATCCCTAATTTCGAGAAACAAAACAATATTTCTATTAATGTTTACATACTACAAAAACAAAAATCTGATTTTATTACTCTTCCATCATATATAACCCAAAATAAAAAAGATCGGCATGTCAACTTATTGCTTATTTAAGATAACTATGATGATCAAGTTGGAAACAAAGTAAAATATCACTTTGTATGGATTAAAAATATGTCTAGACTTGTTTCAAATCAGCTAAGTAATGAGAAAAATAAAAAATATTTTTGTGATCGGTGTCTCCATTATTTCCGATCAGATGCTAAATTGCAAACCCATATTGAAGATTGTGAAAAAATTAATGAAACTAAAATAAAAATGCCCCAACAGGGACAAAACATACTCAAATTTAAGAACTTTAAAAACAAGGAGAAGACTCCTTTCATAGTTTATTCAGATTTGGAAAGCGTGTTAAAATTAACCAACGATCTAAAGAAACCACAGCTACACGTTCCAGCTGCTGTAGGTTATTATTTGAAATGCTCTTATGATGACAGTATTTCTTATTATTGATCATACAGAGGAGAAAATTGCATGCAATGGTTTGCAGATGAAATAGCTCAATTAGCTGAAGATATAGCAACAGTATTTTGGTGCCCATATGATATTGATATGACTGCTGACCAGGAAGCTGAATTTAGAAAAGCAACACACTGTCATATATGTGAAGAGCCATTTACTGCCGAAGATAAAAAAGTTAGAGACCATTTTCATTTAATTCCAAACAATAACTATAGAGGCGCTTCACATGAAGAATGCAACTTAAATTATCAAGACACCCATGTTGTTCCAGTTGTTTTTCATAATTTGAGTGGTTATGACGCCCACTTTATAATTACAGACATTGCGACCCAAATGAAAGGAACTATTGATCTTTTACCGATCACCAAAGAAAAATACATATCTTTTACAAAGCACATTAATGAGTATCCAGTAAAATTCCGATTTATCGATAGTTTTCGATTTATGGCTTCATCTTTAGATAAGTTGTCATCATATCTTGAAGAATTTCCTAATTTAAAGAGTCAGTTCCAGGAGTTACCCGAAAAAAAGTTTAATCTGCTTACAAAGAAGGGTGTAATGCCATATGACTACTTTGACTCTTTTGATCGATTTAGCGAAACATGTTTACCTCCAATTGACTCATTTTATAACATGTTGGAGGATAAGCCCTGCCCTAGTAGGATGTATCTTCGATCAAATCATGTTTGGAATCAATTTGCATGTAAAAATTTGGGGGAATATGTAGATTTATACTTGAAGACTGATATTATGCTTCTTGCAGACGTTTTTGAACGGTTTCGCACTAGCTGTCGCAAAACGTATAATTTGGAACCTGCAAAATATTTTACCCTACCTGGTTTCACTTTTGATGCTATGCTGAAGCATACAAATCAAGAGATTGAACTATTAACAGATATTGATATGTTTTTATTTGTTGAAAAAGGCATACGGGGAGGTTTATCTCAAGTTTGCTCGAAACGACGATCTCACGCAAATAATAGATATATGCCTTCCTATGATACCTCTAAAACAGACTCTTATCTAATGTATTTTGATATTAATAATCAATATGGCTATGCTATGTCCCAACCACTTCCATATGCGGGATTTGAATGGGCTGACACTAACATTGATGTGACCACAATTCCTGATGATGCTGCTGAAGGATATATGTTAGAGGTAGACCTGGAATATCCTGAACATCTTCACGACCATCATAAAGATATACCATTTTGTGCTGAACATATTAATCCAAAGACTAGTAAGCCTCCAAAAACCTGTAAAGAACTCACCAAATTAATGGCTACCCTTCATTCAAAAACAAAGTATGTGATCCACTACCGCACTTTAAAGCAAGCTTTAGCTCATGGATTGAGACTTACCGAAATACATAGAGTATTGAAATTTAAACAGAGTCCTTGGCTGAAGAGCCACATCGACCTCAACACTGAGCTACGTAAAAAGGCCACGAATGAGTTTGAGAAAAATTTATTCAAACTAATGAACAATGCTGTTTTCGGTAAGCTTTTTAAATAATTATATTATATTATTTTATCTAAATTTCATGTTATATAGGTAAAACTCTCGAATCGGTTCGTAAAAGATTATCAGTGAAGCTACTAAATAAATGGGAGGGTAGGTATGGGGCGGAATTCTTCATTAGTAAACCCGAATTTAAAAATTGTGTGATATTTAACGAGAACTTGGTAGCTGTTGAACTAAGAAAGTTGGAAATATATTTAAATAAGCCAATCTATATTGGACAAGCTATTCTTGATCTAGCAAAGACTACTACATACGATTTTCATTATGATTATATAACATCAAAGTTTGAGGAATGCTCCGCGTTGTACACGGATACGGATAGTTTGATATATGAAATTCGAAATCAAAATCCCTATGACGTCATAAAGCGAGATTGTTACAAATATTTTGATACATCTGACTATGAGCAGCCTAATATTTATAATATTCCATCGGTAAATAAAAAAGTGTTAGGTTTAATGAAAGATGAAAATAATGGTATTCCAATGACCGATTTTGTGGGGCTTAGATCAAAAATATATTTAACAAAAGTAGTGCAAACTGAAGCAGATATTAAGAAAAAAAGAAGAAAGCTTGAAGAAGAGGCATATGATGGGGATGAAATTGATGAAATTATTAAAAATTTTGGTGTTTCAAAAAAGGCAAAGGGAGTAAAGTCATCTGTTGTCAAGACAAAAATCAATTTTTCAGATTTTATTGACTGTCTAGAAACTTGCACAAAAGTGGTTACCCAAAATTTAATACGCTCGGAAAAACATAAAGTACATTCAATTAAACAGGAAACAATAGCTTTAAGTGTTCAAGATGATAAACGATATCTAATACCTGATTCCAATGAAACTTTACCCTGGGGACACTATTCGATTAAATAATTATTATAAGTTTAGTAACCTGCTTAGAATTAAATAGTTTTAATTTTGAAATAATAAGTTATCATTTTTTCTATATTTATAAAATTTAAATAGTATTCTTTTCATATATATTAGTTTGTAATTTAATAACATAATTGATTTAAAATAAAGTAGATAGAAAAATTAATTAATTACAAGTGGAATAGGCCTCCTGGGGATACCACAATAAAAAAAACGCGCCATAAGTTCTATCTCATTATATTACCTTTTATTATTTATATTTAATAATATTTATAGTAATTTTTAATATATAAGATGGTGTGGAAACGAACAAATACAATTAAACTCATAATTTTACTTAATTCATATCTGTTTATATTTTATAGCAGGTTCTTCGCGAGATTAATCGAACCGGATCATCATGCCTCAGAAATTACTCCTCAAAATTACAAGATTTCATCGATGGATAGTTATAATATTTTTTAAAAAACTACTTAACACGCAATTAATCTGCGTTTAAATGTAATGCAGAACATTTTATATTAATTTTTTTTTGAGGTTGCACAAAAAACATTATACATCAGTAATAGAAGCTTTCGTTGAATGAAAGTTATAAATTTCTTTTTTATTAGTGTATATTTTTTAAATAATGTTTTTAACAGGTGCTCAGTCTGATTAATCAGACCATATGACCGCAGAAATTATTTCTCAACATTAAAAGATTACAACGATTGGTAGTTATAATGTTCTTTTTATTAGTGTAGAATTCATACTATTTTTTTAAACTACTTAACACTCAATTAATCTGTGTTTTAATGGAATGCAAAACATTCGCTATTAATTTTTACTTTACCAATAGAGGCATATTTTTTTTTCGAGGTTGTTGATACCTGCACAAATAAAATTAAACATCAGTAATAGAAGCTTTTTATAAATTTCTTTTTTAGTTTAAATTTTTTAAATAATGTTTTTTTAAGAGGTTCTCAGTTTGATTAATCAAACCATATGTCATCGGAAATTGTCCCTCAACATTAGATGATTACAAGGATTGGTAGTTATAAATTTCTTTTTATTAGTGTAGAATTTATAATAATATTTTTTCATACATTTCTTAACACTTAATTAATCTGCGTTTAAATGTAATGTTAAACATTCGCTAATAATTTTTACATTACCAATAGCAGCACATTTATTTTTTGAGGTTGTAGATACCTAACCAAATAAAATTAAACATCAGTAATAGAAGCTTTCGCAGATTTAAAGTTATAAATTTATTTTTTATTAGTGTAGAATTTAAAATAATATTTTTTCAAACATTTATTAGCACTCAATTAATCTGCTTTTAATGTGTTTCAAACATTATTTATTAATTTTACTATACCATTAGCAGCATATATATATATTTTTTTTTTTTTTTTTTGTATAGCATTTGATGATCAGGGAAGATGCTGGGAGCTATGAAGACACAATGAAAATGATGGATAGCTATTACTTTTTGAAGATCCTTTTACGTAATCTAATTCTGTGACCCATTAAATTGATTATTAATAAAATGCATTGATATATCCTTATCGTTTTTTTTTTTCATTACACTCATTAAAATATGTTCGTTGTTTAACCTTCAAATACTTTGATAAAGGTAATTTTTATTTTTATATAGTGTTTAAAAATATCCGAGTTTATTTTGATTGCAGGTACATTGTGAAAAATATGTTTGATTTTTTAATCTTGATTATTCCTTCTTAATTAATTTAAAAATAGGTCAGTTTACATCTAAATATAATGTTTTTCTTTTTATACTGATTAAAAGAAGATAATAAGTTTCTCTGAAGGTAGTTACAGCTTGGAAATGGGAGAATTTCATTTTACCAATATTTTTACTTATATTTAGATTAATAATTAGTATAAAGTGGCGTTGGGTAATGGGTGGATAACATTTACTAATATGTTGACTTCTTTTAAACAAACTGAAGGTATGTACAGCTAGGGAATGGGGTAGTTAACATTTAAAGATTGAGGGTAGGTACAGCTAGGGAATGGGGTGGTTAACATTTAAAAATTGAGGGTAGATACAGCTTGGGAATGTGGTGGTTAACATTTAAAGATTGAGGGTAGATACAGCTTGGGAATGGATAGAATACGAGTTTACTTCCTTAAATCTCCTTTAATGAGAATTACAATTTATATAAAACACCAACCTCCCCTAACAAACGCTCCGAATGATGTATCCATAGTTCCGATGTTACTTCGATGACAAAAGGTTTTGAATTCAAAAAGTGTAACGTGCGCATTGACGGCGCGCTAGAAAACGATGGCCGCCATCTTGGATTTTCTAAGCGATTTCCCCACGTTAATTTACATAAGGAATGAGGGAAAATCCGTGTTAACTACTTACTCAAACGTTCCATCCAATAACCAAATGGAGCAAGATTTCAAATACTCTAAATTTTCCGGGGTGGTAAAAATCATGATTCTGTTATTGTCAACAATATTATTAATAAACGATCTAAAATCTAAACTGTGTATTTATTTTCAGTAATATTATTAAAAACAGCATAAAACTTTGTATTCATAAGAGAATCAGATTTTTAGAATATTTGTGGGATGAGTTGTCGTGGGATGAATCGTCGAGGGATGAGTTGTTGTGGGATGATTTGTCATTTTTTTTTCTAAGGTTTGAGTTGTCGCTGGGATGAATTGTCGTTTGAACGATATGTCGTGTCACGGATTACGATACTTCATAAATTCAGAAGTCATGTAAGTGATAGCATAGTTTACAGATTTTCACAATAAATAAAATTATGATCATGATTATTACAACAAAAATAGGTAATCAACCTACTTCCATCTAATAATATTCACTAATATTCCATTTGTAGTGAATATATTTTATTTAGAAAAAAATAGACTAACAAAATAAATTACAAAATAAACATTAATCGTAAAACAATTTATGTATAGCATAAATCCGAGAATGAATATGAATTCTGAATACGACTCAGTCAGTAGAACTACGAAATAATTCCGAGGTTCCATCTCGCCTTCCCTTCAGGCACTGAGAAGCGGCTGGGCATAAGACTGGTTGCATACATTACAGGGGAATCGGTCTGCTACACACTTAAATTTTCAATTTGCCAATATATTGTTTCTACGCCATTGGTAGAATAGAATTTGGCAATGAACATGCATAGATACAGTCGTATGGCGATATACCCATGTGATACCATTCACAATTCACCAGTATAGTACGATGATTTTACGTGAACAGAAATGAATCACCTTTTCCAATATTTTGATAGAGCCTAGTGTATTATTTTCTAAATAAGTTTTTGACTTTTTTTTTTTTGGTTTCTTTAACCATCATTATGGTTATTTGAGCTGAAAACAATCAATTGGTTTTGGGTGGAATGATACGTTCATTTTTTCTTCTCTATTAAAATAAAACAGGTTGCTTCGTAGGTATACATTTATTGCACACTACATTTGATCGCCAATAGAATCATCATTCGCCTCACTATCCTTAGATACATCACTATCAATTGCAAAACTGTTATTGTAATTGGTTACCTCTTCGTTTTCGATATTTGACTGGCTAGAATCCTTATTTGCTACGAATTCGTTTCCAGAATGTTGGAATGGTTCAGAAGCCCTTCATTTTACACTACCCAAACAGCATGTGTATGTACGACCTCTATTGTTTTTTAAAAAAACTTATACATATTGACAGAAATAACGGCAGGTTTTTACCATGGAGGTATAATACTAATGGAGATGCCATGAGGCAATTGTTTTGCATATGATACGTTTTATTAAAAATGACCCCACTGGGCGTGGCTTAAATGGTTGACTAAGCAGTGTTCTATTCAAATATAATTAAAGTCCGTATGCAGAATTACAACTTTTAAATGACTTACCTAAGATTTGTTTCAACATGATCGACTCGAAATTAATTTGATGACTATGGGATCTTTATAAGGTAGTATATCCCATCAATAAATAAATACGAATTCTTGAAAATATAATTTTAAAATAAATTGTATGTCATGACATGTATATCAAATTGTAAAATCTAAAGTCATAATTATTATAAACAATATTTTGTTTCCCTCGCGATGAGTTCAACCTTTTGTCTTCGCTAGAACTGCTACGAAAGGTTATCTAAATGATGACGGCAATTTAATGTGTATGACGTAATGAAAATGAAAATGAAAAAGATATGTAGTGCAAGTATGTCGCTACAATGACATTGCGCAATTATGACTTCTACACTATTTACTATTATTTATTAACCGTTTTCCGACCAAGCCAATGCCAAGACCATAAAAGAGATTAATATTATTATATTGTTCTGTCTTCGCCGAAACCGTCCGATATATGATCTGTGTGATCGAAAATCAACGTTCGAATAACACTGTGCATCAGATTTGTTAATCTCTTTGTGCTTTAAAACTAAAACCCGAACTACGATTTTTCGTTCAAGGACTCTCTTGTCTTGAACAAAGCTGCCAATGTCAAAATCTGACAATGAGGAGAATTATGACATCAAATTACCAAACCAAAAACCTAACCACTACGTGAATTGTGAATAAATATATTTCAGTAAAAATACAGCCGAGTTTGTAGAAAGGACAATTAATTTTAAATGTAAAACATGTAGGTATTTCTGCTGCAGATGACATACATTAAAAATATGACCCGCTACAGTCAAAAGTTTAAAAAGACCAAAAATTCAGCTAGGTATGACTTTATGGTTAAAAGTAGATGGAAGAAAACCATGATCAAAACTACTCTGTCAAAACCAATCGGAACTAAAAAGATAATAGTTGTTAGTTTTATTTATGTTTGAAATAATTAATTATATAGGGTAGGTACATATTGTTATCTTATTTTCATTTTCTACGTTTGCTAGCCAAATTGATGTAATATTGAACTTTGTGTGCTTACTTTGATTTGGCAGCTAACGTGTTGAAAATATATACCAAATAATATTTATTTATATAGTCATAATATTTCTTTTTAAT